CCTGTATATCAAAAACGCAGAGGGCTATGAAAATTTGGTTTGCGCCATTGTAAGTTTCACAAAAAAGTAGCTCAGGTTCGCGAAAGCCGCAACTTTCTACCTCTCATAATAACTGAGATACCCTGCAAACCCATCGAAATTTGGACACCCTGTACTGAACTTGTACAAAAAGCAAAAAATTGAAATATTTTCTAAATTATTCACCTTTCTATAAGGCATATTTAGCTTAATCAATTACAAGTGAGCTCTGGAACAACGTATTTCAATATTCACGTTTATGTACCACTCACCCTGTAGTTTGCCACTTTATTTTGCAGACATAAAAATTTTTATCCCTTTCAAAAACAACCCCCATAGTCATGCTATTTTTTTTTTACTATTTTTTCTGTATTCTCAAGATTAATATTAACACATTCACAAGATTTCAGAATATTTGAGCGAAGTATTTTTTTAAGCCCCTTTACTAGTGAGATTTTTTTGCTATTTTTACAATAATCCGACGACAATTCTAAATTCACAGTTTCAATTCACATTTTCCTCCACAATAATAGCTGATGATTCTTTTACAAATCTCGTTTTTATAGGAATGTAAAATCGTGTCGAAGAACACCGAGGATTCTGCCAGATGGTAACTTCAAAATTCTTATTTTTTGCTATCATTTTGATGGGCACAATTGCTGTCAAAAGCAAATCAGAATCTGAAACAACTGAGTTATCCAAGAATTTTTGTTTGTACTTGGCATGACCAGACCTTCCATCAAAACCCCATTTGTAGGTGATTCCCCATACCAAATTATCTTTATCATTTAATATAGTCATTTAAGATATAGTCGCCTTCGCCGAGACTGTAAATCACGTATTCGGGATGATCGTCGTAAATATGTCGGGTCTTTGGAGAGAGATATAAAAGACAATCCTAAAATTTTTTGGCACTTTGTTAACATGAGTAGAAACAACTTGAACTCCCCAAGTGTTCTGAAATGGAATGGTAAAACCATAACCGATTTACCTACTATAGTGAATTTATTTGCTGACCATTTCGAAGGTATGTATAGTCATACCTCATTCGCTGCCTCCAATAGTCACCATATCAATCCTGTTATGACTGGGGTTTCTTTCGGTATCTCTGAAATTAGCTATGGCAAAATGGTAGAATCCTTCAATAGATTTAAGGCAAAAAATACAACCGGGCCAGCTGGCATTCCTGCATTTATAGTTAAAGACTGTGCACCTGCATTTCTGCGACCACTGCAACATATTTTCAATCTAATTGTAAGGAACTCTGAATTTCCAGAAACCTGGAAATTGAGCAGAATTTGTCCTGTTTTCAAAAAAGGTGCTGTGTGATGAACTATCGGCCAATAGCTATTATAAATAACTTCGCGAAGCTGTTTGAACATATCGTAGAGAAATGTTACATCCATTTCATCGCCAAAATGTTCAAGCATTACATCCTGGAGATACTGAGCAACGCTTAGCATTTTGCCACTGGATTATTCAGCAACATGCTCAAAATAATAACTTCATTTCCCAAGTTCTGTGGTCTGATGAAGCGTGTTTCACTAGGGACGGCATAAATAATTATCATAACGAACATGTGTGGTCCTTGCAAAATCCACATGCAATTAGACCAGGAAGATTTCAGCAACGGTTTAGTGTAAACGTTTGGGGTGGCATTTTTAACAATTCTTTGCTACCTGTATGGGTGATAAATGTACAGAAATTTCTTGAGACATAACCTTTTCGATTTTATCGACGACGTACCACTTAACATCGTTCAAAATATGTGGTATCAGCACGATGGTGCACCACCACATCGAGGAAGAGAAGTCATCGCTTGGTTACATGAACATTTTCCAAACAAATGGATTGGCAATGGAGGTCCAGTAGTCTGGCCACCACGATCCCCAGATCTAAATCCGCAGGATTATTATTTCTGGGGACACATGAAGCAGCTTGTGTACCATGTAGAAATTACTACCCGTCAGCAACTGCTGGACAGAATTCAAGATGCAGCTAATAGCATACGGAATGATCAAATATCATACGTCGTGTGATAGAATCTTTACTTCGTCGATGTGAGGCGTGCATTCAAGCTGAAGGCGGACATTTCGAACAATTTTTCTAATTTTTAAACTTATTTTTTATGTTACTTTTTCATTTGCCTATTAAACAGTGTAAAATTTTCAAAGGCTTGTAATGAATCGGACCCATATTCATATAACATTTTTTCCTTAGAATCGCATCACCTTTCATCTGTCAAAGTTTGTCATAGAGCTAATGAATCACCCTGTATATTCTGGATTAAGTGGAAGAGCAGTTGGTTAATAACCAAACTGAACTTCGTCCAGAAAATGAAAATGAAGTCTATTTTCTAAGAGTGTATTATTATTTTCTTTCTTTTTTTTGCGACTTATTAATAAAGGCATTATTATTATTATTATCTCTCTTTTTGGAAAACAGATTTCTGTTGGGATAATAAAATAATTATTATTATTATTAATGTGATGGATACATGTGGCAATTTCTAGCCATTGCACCCTTTCTTAATCTAAGGCACTGAGATTTAGTCAATTTCAAGTCCACAATCATTGCTAAGACCTCTTCTGGTGTGTATGATTGGGCACTTTTCTTGGGTTTATTAAGCAACTTAATTCTTCGCAATGAGGTGGGACTTGAGATTGTTGCTTTTTTATGACAGAAGCCACATTTCTCCTGCCCTGCTTTATAAAACTTGTTTGGGTTGCAAATGCAAGTTTTTTTTGGACAGTGAGCTGTTACCAAACTCTGTGTATGCCTTCTTTATGACCGAATACTTAATGCAGGAAAATCATTGGTAGTCCAGTAGACGTAGACGGTTGAGAGGTTTTTGATATGCAAAGTTCTTGGGCAAGCCATTCTGCAATTTTGTCCCCCTAAAAGTTGTAAACGGTGCATTNCTGTTCAACATAAGAAACTAACTGTTTTTTCATGATTTTCTCTAAAATCTTAGACATAGTTGGTAGGATACTGATCGGGCGTAGATCTCTATAATCAACTGGGTTCTGTTTCTTTGATAAAGGAAGTATGACAGCTCGCTTCCACTGGTCAGGAAAGATATTTTCTACCAAGCAAGAATTCAATATGTGCGCCAAATACGGTAGTATTATAGTAGTATATTTCAATATTCACGTTTATGTACCACTCACCCTGTAGTTTACCACTTTATTTTGCAGGCATAAAATTTTTTATCCCTTTCAAAAACAACCCCCATAGTCATGATATTTTTTTTACTATTTTTTCTGTATTCTCAAGATTAATATTACATTACATTACATAGAATACATATCGGGTAGGCGGACCAACCAACCTTGCACCGCGACTCTAAGGATCTATTGTACCCCGATAGATATCGTTAGATTAATATTAACACATTCACAAGATTTCAGAATATTTGAGCGAAGTATTTTTTTAACCCCCTTTACTAGTCAGATTTTTTTTGCTATTTTTACAGTAATCCGACGAAAAATCTAAATTCACAGTTTCAATTCACATTTTCCTCCACAATAATAGCTGATGATTTCTTTACAAATCTTGTTTTTAATGTTTTTAATTGGAATGTAAAATCGTGTCGAAGAACACCGAGGATTCTGCCAGATGGTAACTTTAAAATTCTTATTTTTTGTTATCATTTTGATGGGCACAATTGCTGTCAAAAGCAAATCAGAATCTGAAACAACTGAGTTATCCAAGAATTTTTGTTTGTACTTGGCATGACCAGAGCTTCCATCAAAACCCCATTTGTAGGTGATTCCCCATACCAAATTATCTTTATCATTTAATGTGATGGATACATATGGCAATTTCTAGCCATTGCACCTTTTCTTAATCTAAGGTACTAAGATTTAGTCAATTTCAGGTCTACAATCATTGCTAAGGCCTCTTCTGGTGTGTATGATTGGGCACTTTTCTTGGGTTTATTAAGCGATTTAATTCTTCGCAATGAGGTGGGACTTGAGATTGTTGCTTTTTTTATGACAGAAGCCATATTTCTCCTGTTCTGCTTTATAAAACTCGTTTGGGTTGCAAATGCAAGTTTTTTGCTGTTACCAAACCTTCTTTATGACCGAATACTTAATGCAGGAAAATCATTGGTAGTCCAGTAGACGTAGACGGTTGAGAGGTTTTTGATATGCGAAGTTCTTGGGGAAGCCATTCTGCAATTTTGTCCCCCTAAAAGTTGTAAACGGTGTTTTTGAATACTTACTTGGGGTTGAATTAAAAATTCCGGCCGATGGCGATCCTGGTAACATGTTCGAGAGCTGAGATGTGCTTGTGGGTGTAGCACCCCCATATCCGTTCATATTGGTGGTACTTCCTCCACCATAAGAACCACCACCGTTCGAAGAGTGAGGTGTGGAAGCGCTCGAACAATAACCGCCGCCCCTCGGTGAGACGCTGCTACTTTGCGCGCGGGCGTACTCCTCTAAAAGAAAAACCCTATAGGTAAACAATCTGTCAGTAACCAACATGACTCGAATAAATACATTAAACGAGAAACTAAAAAAAATCTTACCTGTAAATAAATAAATAATAAAATAAACATTAAATAAATAAGCAGTTGATATTATTAAAATCGTTTTTATTTAATAACTTAAATGACGTTATGTACAAATCGAAAATAATATACAGCAACATAATAAATTATAAAACTCAAAAAATCAAAAAAGAATTAAATCTTAAGGTTTATTATTGCGTGTTTAGGCCACGTGCATGCCATCTAAAAGCCGTTTTAGTAAGTGGCTAAGGAGTAGGAAGGACAAGCACCTTCTGTCCACTGACCGTTTCCGCTGTCTTGCACGCTAACAGCGAGTTGGCCCGTGTACGTGTTGAAACTGGTCGTCATCGCATTATTGGCCATCGTAGGCGATCTGGGTGCTGCTAAAGATAACTGATTATTTCTGGGCATCGTATAGAGAGCCTCGGCGAGATCCGCCGCCCTTTTCAAGATGATTTCCTACAAAATTCGAAATAGATTTATTAGATATTTATGTTTTCGTTGAAAACGAGATGGAGGAAAGTGGTGAAGTCATCGAATATTTATGTTACGGATTTAACGTAACGGAAACTGACCTTTGGAAGTTTCTCTGGGTCGCCGGGATGCCTCGGTATCAACTTTTGTAACCTTTGGAAACCGTAGTCTATCGTCGGCTCGTTCAATGCTGCTAACAAATGATATATTTAACACGAATAAATTTATTAAAAAAGAATTACTTACAAACATAAACGAATCTCCCCGGTGCGCCTTTGCAGAATTGCTTCGATTTATAAGATAACGTAACTTCCACCACTCCAGGTATGTGTCTCGGGGGTGTTTGTACTCTTATTGCATGCGGTGTAATCAACTCACTCCAAACTAACATTGTCCCAAAAACAACTTGAAGCCCATCAAAGAAATTATCCCCCACAATCATAATCGTTGCCCCGCCAGACGTCCATCCCTCACTGGGACTAATCGCTTTTATACAAGGTGTCGCAACTGGTAATGGTGGATATAAACCTATAAATTAAAAAAAAAAAACAAATTATATAAATTTTTTTATTTTTGATGTTTCTTTTTCTTGTCGCTCGAATTCGAGACGCAAACCGCAAGCGAAGAAGAGGGTTTAGAGCGTTCGGGGGTTGTTGAGGGGGAGGTGAAGAGTCGGGGGTTGTAGCCGAGGATTAAAGCCGAGGAAATAAAGTAGAACAAAGTAAGATATTAACGAGAGTGAAGCACGGTTTGTTCCCTACCAACCGGGTAATACTTGGGGTGCCGGGCTACGAGCAGGCGCTTTGGGAATCGTCGAGAAAGCGAAAATGGAAAAGGAGGCCGGAAAATTTAGAGAAGTCGGGGAGTTTTAACTAAATGAAACGGAGAAAATTATTTTTTACTTTCTCATATACGAATTACTAACTGATTTGGTTCACAAATCAAAAAGACTTCTTCTATTTCACATGTACACACTGATATCTTCAAACAGTTGCAGGTATTCATCAAGTTTCGCCATGTCTTTGTGTTTATGATACTTAGGGTTTAGTTTTAAAAGATTCTCGGGGTCATATTGAAAAGTGTTGTGCATTAAGTACACTTTTTGTGCCAGCTCAACTGTCAGTTTATTTTGATCCCTGTTGATATAACTTGGGATAGTAAGCATTTTAAAGCACATCGTGTTGGATTTATTGCTGAATGAATCCTAATGGATTACACTTTGCATTTTAAGACGTTGATGCTAGAAAGTAAAATTCTGGATTTTCAGACTTAATATAACCCACATTTCTAACACATGTTGATTTCTGCCTTCTAGCATCATCGTTGTAGCTGAGACGCTACAATTTACTTTATTAATGAGATGGTAATCCTCCTATTAAGTCGTTATGTGACTAATAACACCATTGCTCAATAAGAGCCTACACATCTAAAATCAAGTCAAGTGTCAAAATATGTTAAATGACAAAAAATCTGTTTTGATTTATTGTTACAAAATGGACCTTACATCCAAGTACTAAAAATTACGCAGAATCACTGAACTCATTGGATTGAAAAGAAACAGCGAAATTCTTTGTCTGAATTTGAATCGCTATATGTAATGGTTTTCGGGAAAGTATTGATTTGCAAATTGATGGTTGTAACATTACTTTGGTTAGTGAGGTAAAGAATTTGGGTATGATTATGGACAACAGTTTTCGCTATAAGAAGCATGTCTCCAACTGTATATAGGGGGCTTATTATCATCTGAGGATGTTGTTTCCTCATCGACACTACCTTGGTATTCATCTGCAAACGATGTTGTGAGAAGCCTCTGTTTTGGCTCAATACACTTATTGTGCTGAGGGCCACCGAGTGCAAAATTCGTGTCTTCGGTATATATATGGAATTAGAAAATATAACAGAATATCTTATAAACTGAAGGATGCGGGATGGCTAAATATGTATCATCGTAGGAAAGTGCAGTGTTTGTGCCTATACCATAAAATTATAAACTATAAGGAACCACAGTATCTCTACCAACTGATAACTTTCCGAAATGATGTCCACCGAATAAATACGCGATTTCGCGGATCGTTTGTCTTTGTTTCAGAGGTCATACATATTTCAAATAACTTCGAAATATAATGAGGTGGACGATAATTGCAAGGGGTTCTCACTAGGAAGGTTTAAATTTACACAGAAAAATTCTTGTTTTCTTGAACAATGTGTACATAGGGGCAAACGCATATCTGACATGTTTTGCAATCTTGTTGTTGTATCTAGCTGTTGCTTTGTAATTTTTGGCCGAGTCATGTATCAAGCAGCTGTATTAACTAGTACAAGCTGGAACTCGCCTATTTTCTTTTGTATGTTTTTTTTTATACAATTAAGCTTATTTTCTAATAAAGACATTTATTATTATTATTATTAAATGTGAGTTCAATGAGTTTTTGTTTCAAAGTGTGCTCCAAAGAGCTTATTTATTCTGGACAGCAATGAAATTCCATTTCATTATATTGCTTGCTGACTTGCTGAGTTGTTGGGCAGAGTTAATGATCCAAGAACAGCTTTTTTTCCTTTTTGGCATCAGGAATAGAATGCGTAGAGATCATCAGGAATAGAGTATGTCGAGCACTAAGTGGGTCCAATGAGTTTGTATATTTCAGCAAACGTTTGATATCTTTCAAAATCCTCTCAAAATGTGCTTCAAAGAGCTTTTTTATTCTGAACAATGAAATTTCGTTTTATTTAATTGCTTGCTGAGTTGTTAGGCAGAGTTAACGATGCAAGAGCAGCTTTTTTCCCACTTTGGCTTCAGGAATAGAATGCGTGCAGAACCTAAGGAACAGAGTGTGTTGAGTTCTCAGTGGGTTCAATGAGTTTGTGTATTTCAGCAAACGTTTGGTTTCCAAATCTTTCAAAATCCTTTCAAAGTGTACTTCAAAGAGCTTTTTTATTCTTTGCATCAATGAATTGCCGTTTTATTTCATTGCTTGCTGACTCACTTCTGCGTTGATAGGTAGAGTTAATGATTCAAGAGTATTTTTTTTTTCGTTTTTGGCATCAGGAATAAAATGCGTCGTGAAAGAGCTTTTTTATTCTGGGCATTAATGAATTGTCGTTTTATTTCATTGCTTGCTGACTCATTTCTGAGTTGATAGGCAGAGTTAATGATTCAAAAGCAGTTTCTTTTCGTTTTTGACTTCAGGAGTAGAATGCGTGGTGATCATCAGGAATAGAGTGTGCCGAGCTCTCAGTGGGTTTAATGAGTTTGTGTATTTCAGCAAACGTTTGGTTTCCAAATCTTTCAAAGTGTGCTTCAAAGAGCTTTTTTATTCTGGGCATCAATGAATTGCCGTTTTATTTCATTGCTTGCTGCTGACTCACTTCTGAGTTAATAGGTAGAGTTAATGATTCAAGAGTACTTTTTTTTCGTTTTTGGCTTCAGGAATAGAATGCGTCATGAAAGAGCTTTTTTATTCTGGGCATTAATGAATTGTCGTTTTATTTCATTGCTTGCTGATTCATTTCTGAGTTGATAGGCAGAGTTAATGATTCAAGAACAGCTTTTTTTTCGTTTTTGGCTTCAGGAATAGAATGCGTCGTGAAAGAGCTTTTTTATTCTGGGCATTAATGAATTGTCGTTTTATTTCATTGCTTGTTGATTCATTTCTGAGTTGTTAGGCAGACTTAATGATTCAAGAACAGCTTTTTTTTCGTTTTTAGCTTCAGGAATAGAATGCGTGGTGATCATCAAGAATAGAGTGTGCTTAGCTGTCAGTGGATTTGATGAGTTTGTGTATTTCAGCAAACGTTTGGTATCCAAATCTTTCAAAATCCTTTCAAAGTGTGCTTCAAAGAGCTTTTTTATTCTGAGCATCATTGAATTGCCGTTTTATTTCATTGATTGATGACTCATTTCTGAGTTGTTAGGCAGAGTTAATGATCCAAGAACAGTTTTTTTTTTGGTTTTTAGCTTCAGGAATAGAGTGTGCCGAGCTCTCAGTGGGTTTAATAAGTTTGTGTATTTCAGCAAACGTTTGGTTTCCAAATCTTTCAAAATCCTTTCAAAGTGTGCTTCAAAGAGCTTTTTTATTCTTTGCATCAATGAATTGCCGTTTTATTTCATTGCTTGCTGACTCACTTCTGAGTTGATAGATAGAGTTAATGATTCAAGAGTTTTTTTTTTTTCGTTTTTGGCTTCAGGAATAAAATGCATCGTGAAAGAGCTTTTTTATTCTGGGCATTAATGAATTGCCGTTTTATTTCATTGCTTGCTGATTCATTTCTGAGTTGATAGGCAGAGTTAATGATTCAAAAGCAGTTTTTTTTCGTTTTTGACTTCAGGAATAGAATGCGTGGTGATCATCAGGAATACAGTGTGCCGAGCTCTCAGTGGGTTTAATGAGTTTGTGTATTTCAGCAAACGTTTGGTTTCCAAATCTTTCAAAATGTGCTTCAAAGAGCTTTTTTATTCTTTGCATCAATGAATTGCCGTTTTATTTCATTGCTTGCTGACTCACTTCTGAATTAATAGATAGAGTTAATGATTCAAGAGTATTTTTTTTTCATTTTTGGCTTCAGGAATAGAACGCGTCGTGAAAGAGCTTTTTTATTCTGGGCATTAATGAATCGTCGTTTTATTTCATTGCTTGCTGAGTCATTTCTGAGTTGATAGGCAGAGTTAATGATTCAAAAGCAGTTTTTTTTCGTTTTTGACTTCAGGAATAGAATGCGTGGTGATCATCAGGAATAGAGTGTGTCGAGCTCTCAGTGGGTTTAATGAGTTTGTGTATTTCAGCAAACGTTTGGTTTCCAAATCTTTCAAAATCCTTTCAAAGTGTGCTTCAAAGAGCTTTTTTATTCTTTGCATCAATGAATTGCCGTTTTATTTCATTGCTTGCTGACTCACTTCTGAGTTAATAGATAGAGTTAATGATTCAAGAGTTTTTTTTTTCGTTTTTGGCTTCAGGAATAGAATGCGTCGTGAAAGAGCTTTTTTATTCTGGGCTTTAATGAATTGTCGTTTTATTTCATTGCTTGCTGACTCATTTCTGAGTTGATAGGCAGAGTTAATGCCTAATTTCAGGAATAGAGTGTGCCGAGCTTTCAGTGGGTTCAATGAGTTTGTGTATTTCAGCAAATGTTTGGTATCCAAATCTTTCAAAGTGTGCTTCAAAGAGCTTTTTTATTCTGGGCATCAATGAATTGTCGTTTCTCATTTCTGAATTGTTATGATTTTGAAGAGCACCTTTTTTTTTTCGTTTTTGGCTTCAAGAATAGAATACGTGGATCCTTCAGCAAACGTTTAATACCTAAATAGTTTATAGACTCTTAAAAAGTTGTAATTATTAACTATAGTTGGAATAGGTTTAGGAAACATTGATGTAATGTTGGTTTATAAAAATTGTAGAAGAGATTTAAAAGTTTTTGAGATAATTTTTCCCCTTCGTTCTGATTTAGTGATTAAAACCGTGAATCCAAGCGCGTCGAAGCAAGTCGTCGCAAGTTTGTTCCGACCGTCTTTTCCCTTCTCCCCCTTAAAATTCAACATTTCCGTTTCCTTCCTCCAGTGAACTGAATCGGGAGCCAATTTCGCAAAGTTTTGGGGCCGGGGCGGATCAGCATACAAACGAGTTGCTTCGACCACCACCATCGGACCCAGACGCTGCTTGTCTGTAACAACCCCGTTTGGCATACCAACGAGTTCATCAGTGATTTGTGGATAATATTTCGTTCGAAGAAACGCGCGAACTTGCGTGTACACGTATAGGAAAAGCGGATCACGAGGAGAAGCGCATTCGCACGTGTTGAGAATGCGACCTTCGAAGGGGGTTCCCAAGGGAGCGCGGGGAACACGAAATCGATATTGAACTTGGGAACACCGTCCTGGAGGATTGTTTGCGCTCGTTTTCGCGGCGTTACCGAGAAGAATCAAAGCTAATATCTATGTGGTTTATTTATAGTAAATAAAAATCGACATACTGTTCATATAACTACCTTCGCTGGGTTCCAACCTCTTCGCCCGTCTGCCATGTTTCGAATTGTTATGGACGAACATGTTATCGGATATCGCTAATAACGCCCCATCCACCGAAACTTGAGTCGATATTACAACCTAAAACAAACAAAAATAAATTTATTAAGAATTAAGGAGTTAACTTTCACAGTGTTAATTTGCGAAATGGTTGTTCTCGTTTTTGTCGTAGAGTTCTAGTGCAGCCATTTTGCGGTTCAAGGTGGCAGCGTGCATCGCAAGACAGACTCCTCCCCCGGGACCATCGGCCCGATCCCTAGGGAACCCTCGCCCCAGCGCAATACACACGCGTTCCCATGGGAACCGTGGGGGATGATGACGGTAGAGCGGCCAGTAGGCGGCGCACGTTCGATACCCCGACTGAAATACGGTCATCGACCACCACCGCCGGACGACTCAACGGGAACAATCCCGTTTCTCCTTCAGGACGACGAAGACGAAGAAGACGAAGACGACAAAAGCGATGAACACGACGAAGATGTCGAAAAAAACGAAAACAACGAAAGTCCGATAGGGGAGCTTCCTAAGAAATATACGCTTCATATCTTTTTTTCGTTACGTTCTGAAAATCTTTTTTTGTTAGTTTTCTTTTATAAAGAAAATGTTTCAGGTGAGTTTTGGCGTTGTAATCGAATTAATTGTACGCGATTAACTAGATTTCCGGGTTAAGTGGCAGCTAGTACCTCAATAAAGGACGTTCAAGTTGGAACCGACCTCATCCGAGCGTTACCGAGTACTCGAAAGCTCGACACCGTCAAGTTTAGCGCTTAATTTAAATTCCGGGGCATTAAAATTTTTAATAAGTTTACTTATTCGTCGCCCCGAGTGTCAGGGCACTTGCCTCGGCTAATTGGAGGACTCAAGAGACCGTATTATGGCTCCACCTTGACGACGTTCGTTTTTATGGTGGCATAAAAATGTTATTAATATGCAAAGGATTTTAGATAATTTTTTGTGAAAATGTTTAAGTGTAACCGGCTCCTCCGCCGAAATTTCTGAGTGTTATTATTCTTGGAAATAAAACCAAAAAGCATCGTCAATGCCCCAAAAAGGTAAACATATTAAGGACGAAGGGTCGGGATCAATTTCGAGGGCTTATGAGACTGTATGGAATTCGCCTTTGCAAAGCTAGCCCCCCAATTACGGACGGAACGGGGAAGCGGCCGCGTTGCCATTTATTTCAATTTCCATACAGGTTACCAGCGGCCTTTGCCATTCGCAAGGATTTACCGGCAAGATAGGGAACATTTTTATTTGGCGTGCGCAACGGCAAGAACTATAAAGTATACGGCCGGCTTTTTGGTCTCATTTATTTCCCTTGATCTTGCGTCGCACCCCCTTAAACCAGTAGTTACGAACTAGTTTTTGGTTTTATATCCGGGGGTCATATTGAAATGTATTGTTTCTACCAAAAAAATATATCTTACCTGAAATCGTCTCATATCCCTGGGATTTCCGGCATTCTTCAAACAGTTTTGGTTGCACTTAAGGAAGAATTTGAGAAAGAATCTGCAACAAAGCAAAATCATTATTTAATGCGTATTCAATTATATTAATTACGTTATGTAATTAATTAAAAATTTGCAAAAATTATCATGATATAAAGTGAATGATATCGACCTGCTCAACATATATATCATTATGTATTGTAGCTCATATTGAATATTTCAAAAACATATTGTTCCAAATGTATTAGTTTATCCAAGAAACTGTTCTAAATGTAATTGATATAAGGTAAAAATTAAAAATTTCTAAAAATCATAATGATATAAAATATCTATAGTTACAATGATGTGTTATGTATCATATTAGTGCTAAAAGTCTAATATTTATATTATTTAAAATAAACATCGTTCAGAATTTGTTAGTTTTTGCTAATTTGTTCGTTATTATCTAAATTAACGATATCTCACCTCTCAATCTAGATATCATTATGTAATGTATATCATATTTATATTTTATTTTGTTTCAAATAAACATCATTCCAAATGTATTAGTTTATCCAAGAAACTGCTCTAAATATGATTGATATACGGTAAAAATGATAAATTTCTAAAAATCATAATGATATATAATGATCAATATCTAATGACTGAACATAGCTACAATGATTACGTTATTATAGTTGATTTTATTAAGAAAAATGGTCCAATTTTGACATTTTGTGATTTATGCTATATCACTAGAAACTGGTGATAGATAAATATGAAATAAGTATGGATTATGATTTTTTGATGCATTAAGAATATTTTTTATTCATAACGTCTCCATCAGTTTTAGAACTTAGGTTATACTTGATTTTGTTAAGAAAAACCGTTCAATAATATATATATTATTCAATATATATTATAATATATTTTTTAATATATTTTAACCGGATATTAAAAACCTATTACTTAGTATCCCACCATTCACAGGAATTAATATGTCTTTTAGGTGTTGGACCCTGCAGATAATAATCAAGTTCAACCCCAATAGGACTTTTTTCATTGAATACAACTCTATTTATATCACACATTTCAACACGTTTTGAAAAATAACTTTTAGTTTTTGAGAAAACAATATTTGAAGTTTTGATAAAATTTTTGATGTAATCGATAATTTTCAAAATTCGCTATAAAATTAATTTCTTGAAGGATCCTTATAGAAATATCACCAATTATTAATTAAAGTGTCCCCTTTTTAATGCAACAAACCGTTTTGAAAAATCACTTTTGTTCTTGAGAAACAAATTTTTGAAATAATCGACAATTTTTTCGAATTTTGCAATTTCCACCATTTAAATTTTAATAATTCGTATAAAATCGATTTCTTGGAATATGAGTATGAAAATTTCCCAAAGTGCTAATAAAAGTGTCATCTTTCCAATGAAACAACACGTTTTGAAAAATAACTTTTAGTTTTTGAGAAAACACTATTTGAAGTTTTGATAAAATTTTCGATGTTGCAATTTTCATCGATAATTTTCAAAATTCGCTATAAAAGTAATTTTTTGGAAAATCCTTGTGGAAATATCACCAATTATTAATTAAAGTGTCCTCTTTTTAATGCAAAAAGCCGTTTTGAAAAATCACTTTTAGTTCTTGAGAAATAAATTTTTGAAATAATCGACAATTTTTTCGAATTTTGCAATTTTTGCCGATTAAATTTTAAAAATTCGTATAAAATCCAGTGCTAGGAATATGAGTATGAAAATTTCCCAAAGTGTTAATAAAAGTGTCCTCTTTTCAATGAACTAACACGTTTTGAAAAATAACTTTTAGTTTTTGAGAAAACAATATTTGAAGTTTTGATAAAATTTTCTATGTAATCGATAATTTTCAAAATTCGCTATAAAATTCATTTCTTGAAGGATCGTTGAGGAAATATCACCAATTATTAACTAAAGTGTCCTCTTTTTAATGCAAAAAGCCGTTTTGAAAAATAACTTTTAGTTTTTGAGAAAACAATATTTGAAGTTTTGATAAAATTTTCAATATTACTGATAATTTTCAAAATTCGCTATAAAATTAATTTCTTGAACGATCCTTGTGAAAATATCACCAATTGTTAATTAAAGTGTCCTCTTTTTAATGCAAAAAACCGTTTTGCAAAATCACTTTCAGTTCTTGAGAAATAAATTTTTGAAATAATCGACAATTTTTTCGAATTTTGCAATTTCCGCCGATTAAGTTTTAAAAATTCGTATAAAATCCATTTCTTGGAATATGAGTTTGATTATTTCCCAAAGTGTTAATAAAAGTGTCCTCTTTCCAATGAACCAACACGTTTTGAAAAATAACTTTTAGTTTTTGAGAAAACAATATTTGAAGTTTTGATAAAATTTTCAATATTACCGATAATTTTCAAAATTCGCTATAAAATTAATTTCTTGAACGATCCTTATGGAAATATCACCTATTATTAATTAAAGTGTCCTCTTTTTAATGCAACAGGCCGTTTTGAATAATAACTTTTAGTTTTTGAGAAAACAATATTTGAAGTTTTGAAAAATTTTCAATGTAATCGATAATTTTCAAAATTAGCTATAAAATTAATTTCTTGAAGGATCCTTGTGGAAATATCAGCAATTATTAATTAAAGTGTTCTCTTTTTAATGCAAAAAGCTGTTTTAAAAAATCACTTTTAGTTTTTGAGAAAACAATATTTGAAGTTTTGATAAAATTTTCAATGTAATCGATAATTTTCAAAATTCGTTATAAAATTAATTTCTTGAAGGATCCTTGTGGAAATATCAGCAATTATTAATTAAAGTGTCCTCTTTTTAATGCAAAAAGCCTTTTGAAAAATCACTTTTAGTTCTTGAGCAATAAATTTTTGAAATAATCGACAATTTCTTCGAATTTTGCAATTTCCGTCGATTAAGTTTTAAAAATTCGTGTAAAATCCATTTCTTGGAATATGAGTATGAAAATTTCCCAACGTGTTAATAAAAGTGTCCTCTTTCCAATGAACCAACACGTTTTGAAAAATAACTTTTAGTTTTTGAGAAAACAATATTTGAAGTTTTGATAAAATTTTCGATATTACCGATAATTTTCAAAATTCGCTATAAAATTAATTTCTTGAAGGATCCTTATGGAAATATCACCAATTATTATTTAAAGTGTCCTCTTTTTAATGCAAAACGATTTCAGAGATACAGAGTGTTTTTCAAAAAAGTGCATTTTCGAAAAGTCGTCGAAATTTGGACACCCTGTACAGGAGGGCCAAATTGCGTACTTTTAAAGGGAAACTCCTATTTCTATAAGAGATAGAGGAAAAATAATATCAGCTCGATTTTTATAAGAAACTTAATGACGAAAACCGCATATCGATATCTTTTACGATTTCAGAGATACAGGGTGTTTTTCAAAAAAGTACATTTTCGAAAAGTCGTCATAACATTTTTCTTATTGATAAATCCTCCTTTCTGTGAAAACATTTCCAAAGCAACTTTTGATGTAGAATTCGATGGAATAAGTTATCTTTCCCTCAAAGCAATATTTTAGCAGTTATTGACATAAAAATGATTTTTTTAAATGGAACGCCCTATATATTTTTACAAATTCGACGAGTGCATAAAATCTTCTTTCCAAAAATATAGAAAAACACACTTGATATTTCGTTCAAGTCTTCTTTGAAATATACAACTTGGAAACTTTTAAGATTTTCAATTACGAGCCTACTCGTACTAAGTAGTGGGCTTTGACGGCGCTTCGATAAAACAAATGCATTGTTTGAGTATCTATCTGTCAAATTTTGATTCATGTTGTAAGTATTACTGCTTATCGTTAGAGTATTACTTAGTTGTCATCAACTTTTAAAATAGTGTCATATAAAAATTATGCAAAATGGGACATGATAGTTTTGAAAAATAACTTTTAGTTTTTGAGAAAACAATATTTGAAGTTTTGATAAAATTTTCAATGTTACAATTTTTATCGATAAGTTTCAAAATTTGCTATAAAATTCATTTCTTGAAGGATCCTTCTGGAAATATCACCAATTATTAATTAAAGTGTCCTCTTTTTAATGCAAAAAGCCGTTTTAAAAAATAACTTTTAGTCTTTGAGAAAACAATATTTGAAGTTTTGATAAAATTTTCTATGTAATCGCTAATTTTCAAAATTCGCCATAAAATTAATTTCTTGAACGATCCTTATGGAAATATCACCTATTATTAATTAAAGTGTCCTCTTTTTAATGCAAAAAGCCGTATTGAACAATCGCTTTTAGTTCTTGAGAAATAAATTTTTGAAATAATCGAAAATTTTTTCGAATTTTGCAATTTTCGTCTATTAACTTTTAAAAATTCGTATAAAATCCATTTCTTGGAATACGAGTATGAAAATTTCCCAAAGTGTTAATAAAAGTGTCCTCTTTCCAATGAACCAACACGTTTTGAAAAATAACTTCTAGTTTTTGAGAAAACAGTATTTGAAGTTTTCATAAAATTTTCGATGTAATCGATAATTTTCAAAATTCGCTATAAAATTAATTTCTTGAAGGATCCTTGTGGAAATATCACCAATTATTAATTAAAGTATCCTCTTTTTAATGCAAAAAGCCGTTTTGAAAAATCACTTTTAGTTCTTGAGAAATAAATTTTTGAAATAATCGACAATTTTTTCGAATTTTGCAATTTTCGCCGATTAAGTTTTAAAAATTCGTATAAAATCCATTTCTTGGAATATGAGTATGAAAATTTCCCAAAGTGTTAATAAAAGTGTCCTCTTTCCAATGAACCAACCCGTTTTGAAAAATAACTTTTAGTTTTTGAGAAAACAATATTTGAAGTTTTGATAAAATTTTCAATATTACCGATAATTTTCAAAATTCGCTATAAAATTAATTTCTTGAACGATCCTTATGGAAATATCACCAATTATTAATTAAAGTGTCCTCTTTTTAATGCAAAAGGCCGTTTTGAAAAATAACTTTTAGTTTTTGAGAAAACAATATTTGAAGTTTTGATAAAATTTTCAATATTACCGATAATTTTCAAAATTCGCCATAAAATTAATTTC